ATGGGTTTAAAAGAAACCTGACTAGATTGATCAAACGAAATAATTTAACATCCTCTGATACCCCTTTTCAACATCCCTCCTCTGAAGCCTCAAAGACACTGATCCACGTAGTTTTATGTAAAAAGGTCAAACTCTGCATAAGCTCGCCGAGGATGACCATGAATAGTTGCATTTTCACCCACAGGAGGACAAAGGTCCTCAGAAAATAAGAAACACGAGTGACACCAAAAGTGGTAATTTAATATCATGTTAACTCATTCTGTACGGTACAAGGTAGTGCTGCATCGTGGCAAAGACACGATGCAAAGTATTCCCATATGATTTTAGGACCATTAATATGAGAATTCCATATTTCATAACATCAGCAAACCAGATGAACCTCATCCACTTAAAGTACAGAACAGTGAAAAGAACAAATGTCTTGTGAAGAGTGGAAATGAGAACAATGTGTGTGAGGTTAAACAGTGGAAATAGGACGCGAATGCCGGGCATGAAGTCATTATTTCTGCAGCACCGTTCCTGTATTTAGTTTACAAGCATGTCAGGGTGTGCAGTCCAGGCATATTTCAGAAAGGAAGCCCCCGTCTACATGACGTGTGGCCGCCGACAATGCGAGCTCCATAAAAGGCTTAAGACTGAAACTTTGAAGAGAAAGCTTTTCTGCCCCGAGTATCCATACGTGAGGCATGCCTGTAACCCATTTAGACCACTGTGAGCTTTTAGGAATCAAGTTTGTCTCCAACCTATGTGTTTGAGAAGACTCTTGAGAGTCCCTTGGACTGCAAGGAGATCCAACCAGTCCATCCTAAAGGAGAGCAGTCCTAAATATACATCAGAAGGACTGATGCTGAAGCTGAATTTCCAATACTTTAGCCACCTGATGCGAAGAGCCAACTCATTGAAAAAGCCCTTGAGGGTGGGAAAGATAGATGGCAGGAGGAGAAGGGCATGAGATGGTTGGATGGCATCACTGACTCGATGGACATGAGTTTGAGTGAGCTCCAGGAGATGGAGAAAGACAGGGAAGCCTGGCATGCTGCAGTCCATGGGGTCACAAGGAGTGGGACATGACTGAGGGGCAGAACGGCAACAACAGTCACCTAAATTTCCATCTCATAATCCCTTTATTTAGAATGGAAATGAAACCAAGCTATGAAATTTTAAATTGCTACCACAATACATCAGCAGTAAACTTGCTCTAATTTTGTTTTTCTAATCTAGGTTGAGCAGATCAGTCTGGGTGTTCATTGGAAGGATTGATGCTGAAGCTGAAACTCCGATACTTTGGCCACCTTGTGTGAAGAGTTGACTCATTGGAAAAGACCCTGATGCTGGGAGGGATTGGGGGCAGGAGGAGAAGGGGACGACAGAGGATGAGATGGTTGGATGGCATCACCAACTCGATGGACATGAGTTTGAGTAAACTCTGGGAGTTGGTGATGGACAGGGAGGCCTGGTGCGCTGCGGTTCATGGGGTGGCAAAGAGTTGGACACGACTGAGCGACTGAACTGAAGTGAATTGAACTGAATCTAGGTTGACCTCATGTTCTAGATATTTACTGTTGAGGTAAATGATGTGTGAGATGCTGTGCTTAAGTTCAGAGTTTGTTTTTTCCCCTCCTTATGTGAGCTTTTGAAATAAATGTTATGAAGAACCCTTAAGTACTCAGTCATACAGAGAATATAACACTGCTTCATAGGAGTGGAAAATTCTAGACTGTCTGGTGGTATCACAGATTAAGGCCCTGGGGCTCAGGCAAGTAAGTGACTTATACAAGCCCACAGAGTTGGATAGTTAGATAGTTAGAGCCAGGATGTGATCTTCAATCTAATGACTAAGATAAGTCCATGCTGGGGCTTTTCTGGGGGCTCAGGGATAAAGAATCTGGCTGCTTTTAATTCATAAGACATTAAAAGGGGGTTCAGTCTCTGGTTGGGTAAGATCTCCTGGAGAAGGGAATGGCTACCCACTCCAGTATTCTTGCCTGGAAACACCCATAGACAGAGGATCCTGGCAGGCTACAGTCCATGGGGTCACAAAAGAGGGAGACATGATTCAGTGACTAAGCAGTAACAGAACCCCATGCTGTCCCCTCCATTGTGGACGCTTCAGGCAGAGCTAATATTCAGAAGGGAAAGTTGGAGACTGTCTCCCTGTAGGACAGCCTTCTGGAGGGCTCCATGGAGGTGGGTCTAGCCCAGCACTTAAGCATTAGATAGTGTTACAGGCTGAACTAGCAGCTCAAACCATAGTTTCTGCCAGCACATGTCTTGTTCATACCAGTTGAGGGGCTGGGCCATCTCCAATCATGGCATCCATGTTGGCGTCGCTTACTCTGCACTTCTGAGCTGGGGTCTGACGGCTGGCCATGCCAGGTTCCTAGGCACTGGTTTAGATCACAATAGGACCCTTCACCCCTCTGGAGTTCTCCCCTCTGAGTGTTTGGGAACCCGTTCCCCTGCTCCTGGCCTGTAGGTGGCTTGTGATCATGACTGTGATGCTGTCTTCACTCAGAAGTATTTCCATGTTTGGAATTTCTTCTCAATCTTTTCCTAAATCTTTTTTTTTTTTTTTGGAATATTGTCAATGGTGGACAATTTTCACACTTTATTTCTGAAAGGAGAAAGAAAAAAAAAAAAAAAGACAATGACTATTCAGAGCCAAGTGTGGTGAGGAGAGTGAGTAATGGAGCTATGGAATGCTACTCTGGTTGAAATAGGTGCCATCTGCAAAGAAATAGATAGATTGTTATTCAGCTCATAAACTGACTCTGAAAGCAATTCCCAGAGAAGACATGAGTAATATCATTAGACAAATTCTAAATCTTAAGGAAGGTATTTGAAGGACAGTACTTATTTGCATGGATGAGTTTTGAGGCTTTGTTTGAAAAACTCCAGATTCTACCCACAAAGACACACATGATATATTGACTATTTTCAGCTCATTCATTTGCATTCTTACTTCCCTTGGATAATTTCCATATACCTACCTGCTCAGCAAAACCAAACGTTGACACCTTGAAACATTAAAATAGGATTCAGTATTGAACCGAGTAGTAGCTCTGAGCCAAAAAGAGATAGATTAAAAATATTGGCCTTACCCACTCCTATAAACCCAAGATTTATGACAAATCCAGGTCATGCTTTCCAAGTCTGTGCTTCAGTAAATCCAAGTGCCAACATGTGACAACCCAGTCAACGATATTTACACAGGCTTTCCCACTGGTGATTTGTTAAGCTACATCACACACTGAGGTTGGTAAAGTGAACTGATCAGCTTGTTGCTTCAGTAACAAATAGCCAGCCTGCCCTTCCACGGGGTTCCCTAGACCCAACCCAAGATCAGAGCCCTGGGAGCAGCCTCAGTGTTACCTGAGTCAGCCCTTCCCAAATTCTCCCTCCTGTGGGTTCCTCAGAGACCATCCTGAGGAGTGGGTGATGATGGGATGAGAGGATGGAGACAGAGGTCGGTTGGAATATGATTAAAAATGTTACATCACCTGACTCAGCAAGGTATTAACAGCTATAAAACATACAACAGCTAAGTAAATAAAACTGTAGTGTCTTCTTTCTAAGGAGAGGGCTTGCCTTGTGACTCAGCTGGTAAAGAATCTGCCTGCAATGCAGGAGTCCTGGGTTCCATCCCTGGGTTGGGAAGATGCCCTAGAGAAGGGAAAGGCTACCCACTCCAGTATTCTGGCCTGGAGAATTCCATGGACTGTATAGTCCATGGGGTCACAAAGAGTGGGACACGACTGAGTGGATTTCACTGCACTTTCTAAGGAGAAGAACTTCAATAGGATCAGTTTGTTTCCTCAGAGTTCCTAAACTATTATTTAAATAGGCAACAATGCCTTCTTCAATTTATTTATAATGATTTTCTTTTAGGTTTCCATGCTTATTTTGCATACATTGGAACCAATTATCATTTAGTTTGGGTATACCTTCTCTTTTGACAGTGACGATACCCCTTCTATTTTAAGAACACTAAATTATATAATATGGAATTATAGGTATAAGATTATAGTTAAAAATAATTGTATTCAAGTGCTAATGAGACATGCACTATTTCTTCTGAGTCATCAGCATTTATGTTGATTCATAAGTAAAGTCAAAACAATTCCCCAGTACTATTCTAGAGGGCAAATGAAAGGAAAAAATTCTACATTTCCAGTTAGAAAAAGCAACTTCCAAATCCACTCTCCTAAAAGGAAATAGTACTTTAATTTGACTGTGACTTGTCTTTGCTCTTCCATACACAGGATTTAAAAGGAGAATTTTATATTTATGTACTTTGCTCAAAAGTTTATTCTTTTAGTTACTAAACATAAGTATTAAGACAAAGAACTGTGTCAGTTTTTCCTGTAGATAAGATATTAAAACATCTTTTCATAAGCTTTAATTCTCATGAAATTAAGATTCAGTCACATACTATTACAATATGGAATTGTGGGTTTTCCCTCGATGTTTATACCTTACTTGGTCATCTTTTCAGTTTCTAATAATCATTTCCCAAAGATACTACTGGTTTTAAACCTACACACTGATACAGAATTAAGAACAAACAGAAATGAGTTTGCATCCTTAAGGAGAATATTATGTGTACTCAGACTGAAATTACCATGTATTTGTAGTAAAGATAAGAATACTCATTTGTAAGATACATGAAACATTTTCTTTTCTAGTTATTTTCTTTCAGCTGTCCTAGGTCTTTCTTGGGGCATGCAGGCTCAGTAGTTGTGGCAAATGGGTTTAGTTGCCCCGAGACACGTGGGGACTTCCCAAACCAGGGATCAAACCTGCATACCTGCATTGGCAGAATTCTTTACCCGTGGCCCACCAGGGGCGTCCCCTTGAAACATCTTTAAACAGGCAAATCTGATAGACCTGCTGAGGTTTAACCCAACATGATTCAGCAGCTTGTGTTTCTCTAAGAGGCAGAGGGTATTTTCTCCGTTTTTAGTATCCAATTATACATCTGCCATCTTTTGAGGCCTCAGTTCTATATTAAATGGAGAAGTTCCAGTGGCGCAATCAGTTAGCACGCGGTACTTATGTTAAATGGAATACTCATTTTTAGCTTAAAATTTTTATATGACTTACTCATGCTTTTCATGTGCTTGTAAAAAATGGGCTTTCATTAATGGGATAAAAGAGAACATTAAGAAGGGAGATGTGTCCCCACCGGTATGTAAAAGCATTTAATTCTATGTGAAAATGACATTATAGTGGCTCAAGTCAGACGTCTGCAGGACTGAACTGCAAGGGCAAAGGGGTTTCTGTGCAGTTTTCACTCCTTTTTTGGCAGAAGCTTCAGAAGCCCTCTCTGAGTCTTTTCGGGTTGGATTTGAATCAGGGATCTGACTTGTATCGCATCAGCTGGAATCAGTTTCAGGTCTTAGCGGCTGTCTTAGGAAGCGGGCACTGGATGGAATGGTGCCCCCAACGGGCATCTTTTTGATGGGATGAGAAAGAGGCAGAGAAGCAGGAAGCCTTAGCAGCTCACGTTGAGAGAGAGGAGAGGAAGGACCCTCTGTGAGGAAGGACACAGTTGCTCAGCTGGTTAGAGACACACATCATGTGATGATCATCCTTCCCAGAGCCAATCCAAGAAAAGTCATGACTCATCACTGGGGAAGAGCCTAGAAAAGATAGATGGAAAGTGAGACTCATGCTCGGGCACTCATCTCAATGTTTTGGCTTTTTTCACTGCTGTTTTACTATTTCCTTGTGCCTTTATTTCCTTAAGGTACTTCTGACAAGCCAAAAAAGGGTATTTGTTCAATAGCCACACTCCACTATATATGGACCAGGTACACAAGCGCGTACTGTGCAGCACAGGGAACTGTATTCAATGCACTGTAATAGCCCACCACGGAAAAAGAATGTGAAAAAATAGTGTAACTGAATCACTTTGTTGTACGCCTGAAACTAATATAACACTGTAAGTCAACTGCACTTCAAATATATATATATATTCAACAGAACAAAAAGGTTGGGGTGCCCTATCCCCCCCCCTCCAACGTCTTGTGCCAGGTCCACTCCTGATACAGAAGAAAGACTGAGTCGGAGAGTTAAAGAGCCTCCTATCTTACAAGTAATACCCGTGCGCTGCGGCTCCAGTATTCTGATAACTAAGTGGGTATCTTTGTTGTTGTTTAGTTGCTCAGTCATGTCCCATTCTTGGTGACCCCATACACTAGCCCGCCAGGCTCCTCTGTCCATGGGACTCTCCAAGCAAGAATACTGGAGTGGGTTGCCATTTCCTTCTCCAGGGGATATTCCCGACTCAGGGACCGAACCCTCATCTCCTGCATTGGCAGGCAGATTCTTTACCACTGAGGGACCAGGGAAGCCATCAGTGGAATCTCCTTGATCTATAAATATACTCATCCACTGCGCTTCCCGTGTTCCAATAACTGAGTATCTGCGATATCTGAGTGAGACCACGTGGAGGATACACGCTTCGGCCGCTACTTCTCCGGATCTCTTGCTTGCATCTCTTCTATCCTCTCCCTCCCCGCCCCCAACCAAGTCTTTAAACCATATCCAAGCCACATGAAAGAATCAATTCCACCAGGCTTCACTTCCTTCCTTCAACACCTCCACTAAATTACAATCAGAAACTAAAGAGTCCCAGATTCCTCTTCTGTATCCTAGGCCAAATTGCAGTTTCGACTCATATGTGGAGACTACTTAGGCATCTTGATTTCTTCAGATGGTTTTCTGACCCAGCTTCGTTGGAAATGACTTAGAGGTAAAACCTGGGACTGACCCTTTCACCCCGAGTGACGAAGCTCTTCAGAAGTTGAAGGGAGAGTCTCTCCAGCAGTTTGTGGTGAGGCGTTCTCCTTAATTGCAGTCTTTAAAATGTCTCCCTGAAGACTAATGGCTTCATAAATTGAAGTCTTTTCTTTCTTCATTTATGCTTCCAATAAATAGTCTTCTCATTCTTTGAGGGAGAGCTTTTGAATAGCTAATGTTTGGAAAATAGTCCAAACCTGTTTACATTAAAAAAAAAAGAAAAAAACATTCCAATGGCATGACATACAACAGTGTCTATGAAAATTTGATTTTAAAAATTAACTCTTAGATGACCTCTTTTATGAAAACTAGGATACATAAATGAATTTTAATGAGGAATGACACTGGGAAGTGAGTGGAAAACTTTAGGATAAAACTAGGATAAATCATTGTATGGAGACGAATATAAAATTAGGTAGTTTGTCATGGAAAGAAGAGTTCTTTTGAATATGCTTGTTCAAACTCAAAAGGGTAAGGTTCCCCATCCCCAATCACTGAGACATCATCTATAGGGACCTCGGGAGATGCTCTTATCAACCCAAGCGTATCACTGCAGCCTCACAGTCTTATTTGAAAGCTCACTTGTTTTCAGGCAAAAAGCACATAATAGCAGCTATCAACGTTTGAGGGAACCGGAAGATTTGAGACATCACAATCATTTGAATTTCAATTTCTCCATCTCCGGACTTGTGATGCAATAAAATGAAGCCTCCCACTATAGTCCAGTCCACTGCAAAGTCAAGCCCCAAATGGCTGAATGAAGATCTGAAAGGCTTGGAGAAAAAATAAATGAACTGCCTGCTTTTCATTACGCTTCCCTCTCAGGATGGAGATACATCTGGTTTTCTGATTACACTTTACCGTAGTAAAGAAAATTCTAGCCTAGCAGGTCAAACCAGCTGATGACTAGCCAGCTCCAATTACTGACCTGACCTGCTTCTAACCTCAGAGGAGGAGGGAAGGAGAAAGCCCTTTTCTCTCATTCTCAGAGACTGAAACATGGGCGTAGAAGGTTGTGGGGTTTGTTCCTTGATTAATTAAAGTTGCTTATTCAAATTGTGCTTTAGTACATGGTCTTTAATTATAAACAAAATAATGCCCGACTTCCTCCATAAAACACTCAAAGGCAAAGAGAAGGACTAGGACCCTTTTCTTCTTGTAATAAAAAAGACAACAAAAACACAGTGACTTCAATATGGCATTTGGAACTTGATTTGTTCTACTTAATGAAGAAAAGATAATAGTACTTCTCAAAGGAGACAGTGTCTCCTAAGATAAGGCTTTTTTGAGGTTTTTCTAAACAGGCAGTCTAAAAGCCATTTCTAACTTCCGAGCAAACTTCACTGTAGGTTTTGATGAGCTTTACTAAACAGTGCCTGTAGCCTTGTGTATTTTAAAATACATTCATCTGATCTAACTTTGACTCAAAAAAAAAGTCTTGCCATCACTTCCCAGTTTATGGAGGGATTACACGATAATTTAACACTGTTTCGGTAAAGCCTTTCAAAGAAATAGGAAAAATACCTACCTCCATGTTGAAAGCAGTCTATTCAGGCCAATGGCTCACAGCAGTATATACACAAACCCAATATTTCTATTTTTAGGTAACAATTTGAAATGTATTTTTAGATGAAGGTAGCTCTGTTTGTTTGAACCAGGTGAAGATGCCAATACTCAACTTTTTGACCTATAAATATAATTTCAAATGGTTTGATTTAATTCTAAAGAGAACCAAATATAATAAAGTTACTATATCAATATATCTAAATAGTCATCTTTAGCATATTACCATAGGTGACTTTTGGAAACAGTTATTTTCTAACTGAGGAGGGTGATGAATTACCACAATCCTTTTAGCAGGACTTTGCAGCTTCCAGGATCTAATGCCTGATGATCTGAGGTGGAGCTGATGTAATAATAAAAGAAATAAAATGGGCAGAATAAAGGTGATGCACTTGAATCAGCCCAAAACCATTCCCACTCCTTGGCCCATGGAAAAATTGTCTTCCACAAAGTAGGTCCCTGAGCCCAGAAAGGTTGGGGACTACTACTCTACTACATCAAGATGTAAACACTCTGAAAAGTGTTTTATGTAATACTTTACAAAATAAGCAACCTGATTCCTCCTTCTAGAAAGAGCACAGGTGTTCACTTTGATTTACATTTTGCATCATCCCTGTGAAGCAGGTTGTGCTTTGCCCATGTTACAGATGAACCAGCCAAGGAGAGATTGTGTACAAGGCAAGAGTTACTCTTTAGATCTGTTGTTGCGGAGTCCACTCCTAAAGCCTGGATTTATTTCCTTCAGAGTATTTAAAAGGCACCCAATAAATGAACACTGATGTTCTGGAAGCATTTAATGACAGTAGATTTGAAACAGTCCATAGATGCTTGCTTTATAGGCTTTTAATTAAATTAAGCCAGTAAAAATACCAGATGTGTGCATTCATTTTATCATATCTGGATGACTTCTCCCTTCTTTTTATTCTGGATTCCAGTGTGTATGTTTCAGCTCAATTTCAAACCATTTCTCGCTGCTTGTTACATACCCAGTGCCTCCTTGGCTGCTGTTAAGTATGAGGCATTACTGGGAAAAGGAGAACATGGTACTTCGTAGCTAGAATCTAGGAAGTCAGTGGAAGGACATTAACAGAAATGCAATGAACAAAATAAGCATAACATCACAGGATGAGTAACAAATCACTGTATTACAGAAAGCCATCAGATTCTTCTGGACAGTTGAGCGTGGCTCCTATTGAAAGACCCTCACTGCAACCATTTCTCTCATTTTAGATAAAGATGCTTCAGCAGAAACTCTGATCAGAGTATTCCCACATCCAACCAAACATTTATAATTAAAAGCTTTCCACCCGCCAAGCAGGAAGTTCCTCTCTGGGCTGGGTTCCTGCTTTTCATTCTGTTCACTCTGTTGTTAAAACCAGCAACAACCTTTAAGAAAAAGTCCCCTCCATCTTGCCTCCTGCTGCGCAATTCACAGCTTTTGTCTTTGTCCCCTCACGTCCCTCTATGAAAAACAAACTGCACCCATACTTCTCAAATGCTTGTCTCTGAGGATGACCCGCTTTCCCACCCGAGGTTCATGTAATCCAAAAGGAATGTTCCTTTTGTTGCATCGGAACTGAAATGTTGAATGTTTTCAATCAAACCTACATCCTTTCAGGCTCTCCGTGTTATGTCTAGCAGAGGTAGATGGTTCAATCCAGTTTAATTAACAATTATAATCTCAAAAATAGCAACATCAACTATGAAAAGAAATCACAGGAGATAGCATCACTGGCCTTGCGCATGCAGCAGGTAAGCCTGCCCACATCAATTCCAGCTTTGTTGTTGTTAAGTCATGCCACTTCTTTGCCACCCCATGGACTGGAGCCCACCAGGCTCCTCTGTCCCCCACCATCTCCTGGAGTTTGCTCAAATTCATGTGCAACTGAACTCAGCAAACAGATGAGGATGGGATTCAAACCCACACGTGCATGGCACAATGGATTAGGAGTCCATCGCCTTAACCACTAGGCCACCTCATCACACAATTCCAGCTTTAAGCATTGCTACTTCCCCTCTAGCTCTCTCTCCATTTTCAGGCACGTCTCCCTATAAAGGGCAGCACACTCACCGCTCACATCTCCACTCTCCCTAGACCCTTCTTATCTACTGTCATCCCACCCACACCCACCTCCCTCAGAACGGCCCTCTTGGAGACGGCCAGTGCCCTCTACACTGCTCAGCTCAGCGGGCTCTAAGCAAGCTGATGTCTGTCATCTTCAGCACAACACCTCTGTCACTAGTGAGAGGGCCTTCTAAGGGGATTCCAACTGCCTTAGTCTATCCAGGCTGCTACCACAGGAGACTGTGGGCTGAGACGCTTGTTAACAAGCTGCCTACAGTTCTGGAGACTGGAAGTCTGGGACCAACGTCCTGGCAGACTCAGTGTCTGGTGAGGACCAGCTTCCTTGTCCATGGATGCCTGTCTTCTCCATGTGTCCTCGCACACCGGTGCGCAGGGAGACTTCTCTGGGTCTCTTTTATGACAGCATGAATCCCATTCATGAGGACTTTGCTCTCATGATCTAATCACCTCCCTAGTCTCTTGATTTTGTGACTGCATGTGAAGCTTCCTCCACTAGAAGACCCAGCTCTCCTCATCTGTCAAGGGAGTTTCTACTAAGCATGTAAGCCTAGACTAAAAAGATACTTTGTTCAGGAAGTCTCGCTTATAACCACACCTGTACCCACTATGTGTGTGTTAATGGCTCAGTCGTGACCAACTCTTTGCAACCCCATGGACTCCAGCCTACCAGGCTTTTCTGTCCAAGGAATTCTCCAGACAAGAATACTGGAGTGGGTAGCCATTTCCTTCTCCAGGGGATCTTCGTGACCCAGGGATCGAATCCACCATTGCCAAGATCAAATGCTGCCTCCTCTAAGCTGTGAAGGCATGTTAAAAGCAATAGCTCCATCTTGGTGCTGACTGAGTTGTAACTGTTCATGTTTTGCCTCTTCTAGACCAAGATTTCTCAATCTTGGCACTGTTTTCATTTTGTACTTGCTAATCCTTTGTGGTAGGAGATGGTCCTGCCCATTATGAGACCTTTCACGGTATCCCTGATTGTTACTCACTAGACACTTACCCTAGTCCTGACAATCAAAAATGTCTACAGACAGCACCAAATGCCCCCCAAACCTGAACAATCACCCCCAGTTGAGACCCTCTGCTCTGGCCTGCAGGATTCACTTTAGGCAAAGCTCTCATCATCCTCATCAAGCATGGGATGTGGAAATGCAAGTAGTCAATGCACGTTTATTAAATGAAACCAATTTACCAGATGATGTCCTAAGCCTTATGAATCAACTATTTGAAGATAAATCTTGAAATGACACTAACTATGAATAGGTCATCCTTTGTGTATGGCATTGTGGACTCGTGAAAGGATATGATTGTATCTTAGTTGATTCACAAAAGATGACTCAGTTTCTGCTCTGAAGATAATAACTCATTATATAAAATAATTACTTTATGAAAGTATTCTATTTATTTCAGTGGGAAAACAGGCAATTAAAATCAGGATAGGTCAGCATGTCGTTTCAATTTTTATACAAAGAAAAGAACATCTTTGTAGTATGTATCATGTTTCAATTGATACTTTCCCCTGCATTGTTACATTAAATCTGGCTAAAGCGAGGAACTTGAGAGATAATGTAACACACTTGAAATACAGTCTAAATTACCTTACAACGAATCACTGGCAGTGACCCTTATGCTTTAAGATCTGTACTTGATTAAAACTCACATTTTAAACCTTAAATGAGGCCCACCAATTTCAAATCTCTTTCCTCCTCTTCCAAACCACACAACCAATTATATATGCATTTTCCTTCAAAAGCTTCATCTCTCAAAAGGATCCTGCCTGCCTTTATCCAAGGATTATGATGAGAGGCAAAACATGAGCTTGATTCTCTTCCGAGAGAACTAAGTAATTAAAAGTTTCGCAAGTGGAGAATCTGTCCGTTAGTTTGGGACAAAGTTTGGCTTCAAGCAATGAACCAAATTAAATTAAAACCTACAAGTAATTGGTTGTAAGTGTGTATGTATTGAATCTTACCCCTGGTCCTTATTCTCCATAATCAATGATGAAATTCTTTTATGTCCTCTGAAATGGATTAACCAACTCAACAAGCCTGCCTCACTTTTCCCAGCTGTTGAACTGAAAGTTTTAGGAAGCCAAGTTCTGCGTGGTCTGGTAGAACACAGTAACAGGAAGCCTTCTAATTTTGAGGTTAGTTACGTACTCCTTAGATAAGACTGAAGCAGTCCCTGAGGCTGACAGAGTGCCTAGTCGTCAGGTGTCACTGAGTGACATATTTAAGGCATATCTTCTTCTCTCCTTTAAAGATTTTTCAAATAATTTCACATTTTTGATCACTTAATGATCTTATTATCACCTTTAAGAATGCTTTAATTGATGTGCGTTATTCAAAAAGTAGGAATCTGAAAGATAGAAAGATCCCTTAGATTGCATAATTCTTCTAAAATAAGTGCACAACAGCTACCAAAAGTATGATAATACACGTTACCTCTCAAGTGTAACACACTTGAGAGGTAACGTGTATTATCATCCAATGTAATAATCTGAAAGTCAGGACACACAGCAAACTGAAGAAAGGATCCGAAGAAAATCTGATATAATGAACTGTTTGGTAAACCATCTCAGATCTCAGTCCCTTAAAACATCCCTGGGTCGGTCTAGATTTTTCCCACAATCCCAGAACGCTTGTCCAGTTAACTATTTTACATTTTCTGGAGTGTGGGAATAGATGATTCAAATTTCACACATCAAAAGTTAAACCCCCAAAGGGCTAATTAGAGAGTTTGAAATGGACATGGACACACGGCTATATTTAAGTTGGACAGCCAACAAGGACCTACCGTGCAGCACAAGGAAGTCTGCTCGTGTTAGGGGGCAGCCTGGATGGGAGGGGAGCTTGGGGGAGAAAGGATACATTATGTGTATGATCAAGTCCCTTTGCTGTCCCCCTGAAACTATCACAATATTGCTAATTAGTTATAGCCCAATATAAAATTAAAATTTAAAAAAAAATTAAACAGCCGGCTCCCTCCTGCCATCTAAGAGTACCTCCTACTTCTCAATGCATCCTTCATCTCAAGTG